AATAATACATTTGTTTATCACGCAGGTCAACCATGGTATATTCAGCAGGACGAATGAGCATTCTGCACTCAACTTTAAAATAGATAACAATGGGTAAGTGTTGAAAATACATTGTATTATCACGCAGGTCAACTATGGTATATTTAGCAGGACGAATGAGCATTCTGTACTCTATTTTAAAGTAGATACCAAGGGGTAAGTGATGATAATACATTGGTTTATCACGTAGGTCAACCATGGTATATTCAGCAGGACGAATGGGCATTCTGCGCTCTACTTTGAAGTAGATAACAAGGGGTAAGTGATGATAATACATTGGTTTATCACGCAGGTCAACCATGGTATGTCCAGGACGACTGAGCTTCGTGAGTTCTACTTTAAAGTAGATAGCAAGAGGTAAGCAGCGATATGACCTTGGTTTGTCAGATAAGTATCCTTAATAAGTATCGATCGTGTAGCTCAAGCATGGTATATTCAGCAAGACGACTGAGCTTTGTAAACTTTATTTAAAGTAGAGAGCAAGGGATAAGTGGTTATATCACCTTCTTTTGTGAATAGGTGTGTCTGTTCAGTATCAACCGCGCAGGTCGTTGGGACTATCTACCCACGATTTCAAATTCCTTTCATAATTGACACGGTAGAATGGACGATGTATTGAATAAAACTCTTTGAAAAATTGAAATAGGTCGTCGAATTCTCCTTTCTGGGCGTTTGGCTCATATTTGCAAAAGTTTATAAAAAAGTGCACAGTTCGGATATTATTTGAGTATAGTAAGACGTAGTGATTAACCACATGTTAGACATGCCATCCTATCAAAATCGAAGTACCATACACCCACCCCTTGCGCATTGACCAAAAGACCTACGTAATTCAATGTCAGCACCGTGCGCGGTGGATATATTCTTGGCTCGATTGTTTGCAGGTCCTACGCTCGCACGTTTCGGATATCCGTGAATTTTTCCGAGCGATTGTCAGTACTCATCAAACGTGTTCTTTCCGTGTTTCCAGCCATTCATACTCTTTGCAGCATCATACTTAAAATCAGGTGCCTCCTTTCGAGAATTAAACGCCAGGCTCCATACACAGTACATCACGCATAAGCAAAATCGATTCGTTTATCGCGTTCACGGTTTGAATACGAGATTCGTTTGTCGAGTCTTTCAGTTATACTAGGCTGTGCTTGGTCGTTCTATGCATTTGAGGAATCCAATTAAATAGAATGGTGGAGACACTTGGGTGTTTCACGAGCGGCTCGCGTTGTCACTACCTAGTCCTTTAACAAACGGGTACACTATAGTTCGCCGGTATAGAGTATGCAATACTCCACTCCGTCTGGTACTTTATTGCGGGTGCCAACAGTCCCGCTTTCTGCATTCTATTTTAAAGCGGGATTCGTTCGTTATCCATATCGTCCATAACTCCGGCTTGGTAGTCCCTCGCAGCCCGCGCATTTTCGCCGTAGTTTTTGTCAGTGGCATTTCCTTGCGCCAGGGTGGAGAAGTGGATCAGTTCATTAAGACCGTCGTAGAGTTCTCCGAGGTTCGATTCCTGCGTAGGCAAATGCCCAGTAGGTACAAAGATGAATAAAAACAACCCCAGTGGGACAGAACTGTGCCTTTTCTTGTCTGCTGGATGCTAGCGGAAGGGGGCACATGAATCAGTTGTGTGAAGAAAACCAGGGGTTTTTTCTTGTTTGCACAGGTACGTGCATGTGTGATGTACAATTATGTCTTTATAGGCCTACGTGACTACGTATGTACACGTGCTTGATTGGGCATACACCATACACGTACTGCAGATGCAACACTTATCGTCCAGTACCTGTCCTTGACTATGTCTCTTGTTACATGCCTACGTGACTACGTATGTACACGTGCTTGACTGGGCATACATCATACACGCACTTCAGATGCAGCACTTATCGTCCAGTACCTGTCCTTGACGATGTCTTTACATGCCTACGTGACTACGTATGTACACGTGCTTGACTGCGCATACATCATACACGTACTCTAGATGCAGCACTTACCGTCAAGTACTTGTCCTTGCCCAGCATGCCATCGAGTAGCTGTGACGCCCGGACGTCGTGGCCGTAAAAGGCCTTGTTCATGGCCCCGCTCGACGACGCAATTGCGCCGTTTAATCCCACTCCACCGTATAAGCCTAGGCACGTGTTGAGATATCATGCGAGACGATAGGGGTATATGTACGCATGTGAGGATATCAGGTAGAGAAAGTATGCACGCGTGTGAGGATATCGGGAAGAAGTATGCTATTTAGGCAATGGATAGAGAAGCCGGTTAAAAAAGATGTGTGGCGACAATAAGCGGTTTCTGCAACGGATATAATAACTGCGGAGGCGGATACCGACCGTCATGTCTATTCACTTGCGCAGTCGTACCCACGCTCTTGTTAAATATTTCCTGAAAATATGTCACCATATGGTCAAAGCAACTGTATCGAATGGACACACAGACATCACAAGAACGTATGAGACTGAACCGCTAGATAGATGGGTATTTCTACGGTATCTAAACACTTAGATGGACGAGCCTCTTCCCACAACAGGTGTGTCTACCTATCAAATATGCACCGAAATAAGTAATTCTTAATGCTATTAACCTACAGCGCACAGATGTGCTGGAACCAAGATACAATGAACGCGAGCTATATGAACAGTTGTGTCTACTTAGCCTGATCAAGTCAAACGGGCATGTCTTCACACTGAGCCAGAGAATATATAGAACAAGCACTACTCTCAGGAAATATACAGCCAGACAAAACAGCCGCGCATACAATACAATACATATATATACGCTATCTGTACAACGAATATTGTGCTAAAAGGACTCAATCCACACACACATACAAAACTATGGACATACAGACATACCCATGTGTACCAACTTCTCCATACACATACACTGCTTACTCGTATACGTTCACCTATACATAGTTATATGAAAGAGCAGATTTTCACTAAGATAAGAATAACGCTGCGGATAGAGATACTGGTAGTGAGTCACATACCCTTTGCATAACTGTATGAGTAATTGATTGCCGCTCCTTTGTTGCCAACGGATGCTTTCGCGTCAAGGTGTCGCCCCACGGGACCAGCCGCCAATGAGATGTCCGCTCCGAAGTTGACCTATAAATAGAACCGGGTACGGAATACGGGTCAGTTGGCCTTGAAATTAAGTACGTTGGTATCACAAACGTACCAATAAATACAAGTCTCATTGTACTTAAATTGGAATGGATTCACTTGACAGGGTTTGTATACAGTGTAACACAGCTTGGTCCTAGTGCATACGACAGAGCTCTGAGAACGTGTGTTATTAGCTGGCAGTTCGTCAAACTTTTAATTCTTTGGAATCAATTAGTGCACATTGGCAAGACAAATGTATACTGCCCGTACGGCCCCGCACGTGTATGTAGTGTATATGATATTTTAAGCGTATGCGTTAACGGATTTAAACGTACTTGCCTATGTTAACTGAGCAATAATGATAGTATAGATGCTCTTTCCTACTTATCACACAATCCGAATAAACATAAAAAATAATTTAGTGGTAAATAAATAAAAATCCACACACATATATATATTTATATATACATACATATATATATATATACACACACACATATATATATAAATTAATATATATATATATATTTGTTATATTTGTACGTATGATTATGATTAGAAGTATATATATATATATATGAGTATATATATATATATATATACATATCATATACAAATGAATCTATATATACATATACATAAATATATTTATATACATATAAATATACATAAATACCTTAGCGTGGGATTTGAATGTGTCCACAGCTTCTTTGTAATTCAGGAACACCACGTGATAGGTCTTCTGAGCGCCGACCAAGGCACCTGCCAGGAGTCAGTCCAAAAATCTAGTTAGCGCTGACGGTGATCAGAAACATATTGAAGCTGGAAAAAAGGAAACTCGAATACATATATATGTGTGTATCGGACTATATATATATATTATATATATATGCACCGAAGAAAATTAATTATAAAGAATGCATATCAGATCCGGAGAAGAGGTACCCAGACATGTGATATATATATATATATATAAATACATATATATATATATAAATACATATATATATATATAAATACATATATATAGATGTCTACCAGTGCATAAACATAGATACGAGTACGCGGTCAATCTAAAACTAGCATAACACAAACTCATATGCATGTAGTAATGTTAAATTTGAAAAGGAATTGAAGATTTAAAGTCGGGCAGCATACATAGAGTCCAAGCAATACAACCTATCGCTCATGCAACGACCGAAAGTATAGTCTTGAATACGTCTACTGTTCAGGCATGTATGATAATCTGGACATATACAAGCATAGATGGTCCATGTACGCAAACACGACAAGTCGTTTGAATAGATAGTTATATAGATATTTGTCCCTGACGACATACTACACATATCGATAACCCAGCCTTGTAAAAACACGTTGTAGAAGCAAACAGTGCCTGAGCAGGTGACAATATATAAATACATACACACATATATAAAAAGTGTTTTATAGTGTATATGAATTCGTACCCCAGCCCATGCCACCGGACACAATAGCGGACGGACCAGACCAACATTCATCATCGGTGCCTCTGTTAAGTTTAGTGATAACGAAACCTGTACCCAACTCTCCACTGAAGACGAATCCAGCCTTAACGTAAAACAAGAAGCACACGCCATAACAGTCCTTGATTACTTGCGGTGGCACAATAGCCCGACCGTCGGGTACTGCTGCATTCACACTATCTTCCTGCGATTTGTGGTATTGGCCAATTAATGAGGGATTAGGATTTGTAGCATAAGATATATACACTGTAACAGTTAATTACTCATTGCGGGGATGCTGCAGTCTGACCAATAGTTAACACTCCGTACGTGATATCTGTGTCAAACATTCATCTAAGAAGGATTACAGTCCTAGTGTGAGGCAATCTTTAACTACAACTTTAACTACATCCTCCACGACACAACGGTGGGACTACAGCGCATACACCATGGAACGAACTAAGTGTTGTTGATGAGTACTACGGAGAAGGTCGATGACACTAAAAAAAATTTTTTATGTCACAAGCGTAGCATACAGACGCCGTGACAGTTCTTATCCAGCAGCAGGGAAGCTAATAGCTAGATGTTGTTTAAATTCCAACATCATCCTTGTGCATATTTGGGATGATCGAGAAGTTTCAATGCAACCTCTCAACCTTATGCGTTATTAACGTAACGAAGCTAAAGGATATATATAATATATAATATTGAAAGATATACACACATACATACACACACACACACACACATATATATATAAATATATTGAAGGATATACATACATACATATATAAATATTATACATACACACACACACGCACACACACACATACATACATACATACATATATATACATAAGGAAATATAATTGTATATTTATATAATTGGTTATATATATAAACATATAACAATAATGATGATAACAATAAATACATATAGTAAAATAGTAAAAAAATTAGTATATATATATGTAAAATCATGAAATAACAATCATAATGATAATAACATTAATAATGTATATATATATATATACGTATATGTATGTATTAATAATATACGATAATATAACTATAATTTTATAATTATATGTATATATATATATAAATAGATGGACATATATATATGTATATATATACTTACATACAGACCCTGATATATATGTATATATATTGTATATACTATATTATATATATATATATATTTATACACACACACCCACACACATACACACACACACACATATATATATATATATCTATACACACCCACATATATATATATCTATACACCCACATAAATATATATCTATACACACACATACGTGCACACACACATATATATATACACACACACGTGTACACACACACCCACACACCCACATATATATATATGTATATTTATATATATATACATACAGACACACAGACACACAAATATATATATATATATATACATACACACACACACAGAGAGAGTCACAGACACAGACACACTAACAGACATTTATATATATATATATATATATTTATATATATATATATAATATACATATATATATAATACACACACACACACACACGCATATATATACATATATATACATATTTATATATATACATATACATTCATATATACAGATACATACATATATATATATATATAATTCATATACATATATATATATATATATATATATATATATATATA